TTTTGAGCTATGGAGTTAGTAGTTAATTTTCTTGAACTTATTAGATAGATGTGGGGTGATATTTTGAAGATCAATAAACAGAAAATAGTTTAAAAATAAATGAAAATTAATTTGCATGGCACCGCGAACTTGTGCTCAATCACGAGTCTTTAGACCAGAACTTTTTCTTTCTGCTATTTAGATTATCTGGAAGGACAGGAATGCCTTGGTTTTTAGGAATCATCGATCTAGGCCACCAGACCTATGCGCTATGATTCTTCAGCAAGCACATTATACCCGGCTTGGTATGACCTCTTACTCAGCTACACGGTCTTCTCAGCCTTGGTGGGTGCGTTGGAAACGGCCGGATGAAGGTTGGGTCAAACTGAATACAGATGGGTCTTTCAATAGAGATGGTAATTCTGCTAGTGCAGGGGGATTGATACGAGACAGCTTGGGTGACTGGATTTCTGGTTTCACAGTTAATGTGGGTAGCGCATCCATATTTATAGCTGAGTTGTGGGGACTTCGGGAAGGACTCCGGCTTTGCAAGGCTCTCGGGCTGTCTCGAGTGGTGGCGGAATTGGATTACCTTATGGCTGTTCGCTTTATTAATAATAATAGAGATCCGGATAATTTATCTGCTGCATTCATATTGGACATTAGGCTTTTGATGCGGGATTTTCAAGCTCGTGTGCTGCAGCATACTCTAAGAGAAGGGAATGCGGTTGCTGACTTTCTAGCTTCAATGGGGCATTCTTCACAACTAGGCTTGCGTGTTATAGACTCACCACCAGATGGTTTGAGATATATCCTTGTTGGGGATCAGCTGGGGGCTAGTTTCCTCCGTCATTAGTTCTCCCTTAGTTTTGTTTTCTTAGTTAAATCACTGATGTACCAAAGAAAAAAAAAAAAAAACCTAACTTGTGAAAAATTGTAGCATTTTTCAAAAATTATAGTATTTGGTGCAGTTAAAACTTTTGAAATCTAAAAAAGTTTTTCACCAACTATACCAAATATAGCCATAATCAAACATAATAACTCATGAGTGATTATAAATCTCAAAAATAGTTTCTCAAAGAATGATTCTAGAAGAAAAGTTTTTGGGTTCAATATTTGCCTAGGTTTTCAATATAGTTGATTATATAGCTTATATTCAAAAGCCACTGTAATAGGTTCTTTTGAAAATTCCAACCTCCATAACTGATTAATTTTAAAAAGTAATTGGTTATTTGTTTTTAAAACAAATATAAGTGATTATTTTAAAAAGGTAATTAACTACGTTCTGTTGAGTATGCTTTCAGTTAACGTTTTAAGTTTTTATTTTTTATATATTTATTAACTATTACTCTTTTTAAAAATTAAAATTTATTATAAAGATTTGAATTTATTAAATTTAATTTAAATATAGTATTAGTTTTTAAATATATAAAAATAAAAAATCTAAAACCAAAATCACACTAAGTAAAACCTACATTTTACTTTCAAATTTGTGCCCTAAAAGAATTTATTATGTTAGCTTTGTTAGGCGGAGCCATTTTTAGGCGTGACTTCCCCAAAAATAACTTCGGTTAAATTCTCATTTTGATTCTTTTATTTTTTGTAAAAATATTTCTTTTTAATTCTTTTATTTAAAAAAATTCCTTTTTTGATATCTAAAATTTGAAATTGGTTCTTTTTTAGAGTCTTTATTAAATTTTGCATATGTGACATATTAGATAAGGAAATTTCAAAGTAAAGAGAGTAAAAAAAATTAAAAAGAAACTAAAAATAACCTTAATTTGATTCCTTTACTTTGGAAAAAAAAAAACCCTTCTTTAGTCTATTTCCTTTGAAATTTTCATTATTTAATGTCAAAACTTAACGGGAATTAAAAAGGGTTGAATTTCAAACTTTAGAGACAAAAAAGGAGCCTTTAAAGTAAAAAAGCTAAAAAGAGGTTTTTTTGCTAAAGTAGAGAGACTAAATTAGGGTTTTAACTTATTGCTTCTTAGGTGTGGATGACCAAATATGGCCTAAAAGGTAAGAATGTATTTTTATTTTATTTTATTTTGGTTAAAATCTCATTTTGATTCTCTTATTATAATAAAAAGGACAACCTTTTTATACTACTTTTTTATACAACTTCTACATGTTATTAAATGAGTATATATATTTAATATCACAGGTTTTATATGAATTGAAAGAATCAATCATCTAAATGGCACGTTAAGTTATACAAAAAGGTTGTACAAAAAGGTTGTATAAAAAAGTTGTTACAAAAAAGTTGCCTCAAAATCATTTATCTTTTTATAATCTTTAAAATTTATTATTTAGTCTCTTTTTTTCCCTTTGTTATCTTTTTGTACATGTGCACATTAAATGACAAACATTTCAAGGAAAAGGAACTAAAAATAGATTTAAAAAGTTCATTTTTTGTTCCTCTACATTAAAAAAAAAAAAAAAACTCCTTTTGTATCCCGTTATTAAAAAAAGATTTTTTATTAAAATAAATAGACCAAAATAAAACTTTAACCTTTTTTTTTTTTTGAACTTGGGTAATGTATTATTAATTTAAGGTTTATGTACATCCCTACAGAGCAGATTACGTAGGATATTGGGAGGACAATGTGCCCAATACAAGGGGCATTGTCCACTAAGTGACGCGCGGGCGACCCAATCAGCTACCTGGTTGCCTGAGCGTGGAACAAAATTGAACTTGAAGCCAGGATTACTGATACAAGATTGTCTTATACTCATTATCAAGGATTGGGCCTCCCATGGTAGAGGCTTTGAAGATTGCTGGATAGAGGAGATTAACACCTGATTATCAGATTCGAAGATGATATCTTGAAAGCCTTTATCCTCAGCAAACCGGACGGCTTTAAGGAGAGTAGCTGCTTTTGCTGAAAGTGGGGTTGACGTCAAGTAACGCCACGCTCTTCTGAAAGAGATTTTGCCGTTCGAGTTACGTCCAACCATGGTTAAAGCTGCTACCCCCGAATTTGGTGAGAATGAGGCATCAACATTAACCTTGATAATGCCGCATGGAGGCCTAGACCAGGAAGATTTATACAGTTGTGCAGGTGGTTGGGGCCTGGATGGGGATTCCAATAAGTCTTGGTGGTCCAGAGATAATTCCTGAAGCATGTGCGAAATACGAGTAAGAACCTGGCTAGAAGAAATTTCAACCTGTTCAAAATATTTCTCATTTCTGGCTTTCCATATATTCCATCAAACAACAGCACAGTAATCTAGTAAGGAAGGAAAGTGCATTTGTCTAGCTACCCGCTTGATATACCTCCACCATTCCACAAGATTACCCACCCCTAACTGCCGTGGGTCAAGACCCAAGGCTGAACCAAACCAAATTGGTTCCACATGAGGGCAATAAAAGAGCAAATGCATTATGGATTCATCAGTTAAATAATAGAAGGGACATAACGCCTCTTGTGCAATTCCCCTCCGCAACAAATTATCCATTGAAGGCAAAGAGTTAAGAAGAGCTCTCCATAAGAAAACTTGAACCTTAGGAGGCACTTGCATTTTCCATATGTGTTTCCATTCAGCAGATGAAAGGATCAAATTATCATGATTCCTATCAGTTTCATTAGCAGCATGAATCGCAAGGAGATAGGCATTTTTAACAGAAAATTTTCCATATCTATCATAATGCCAAATAAAGGAATCAGAGCATATTCCAATGGGAATTTTTGGATTTCCTGACACTCCTCATTGTTGAAACATGTATTAAGCTTGGTAATATCCCACTCCCCCTCATGATCAAGTAGTTCACAAACATGAGAAAGTAATGAGTTAGTGACCGAGAGAGAGGTTACCTTAAAACCAGAAAGGGTGGGCACCCATTTATCTTGATAGATCAAAATGTCCTGGCCATTTCCAACATTCCATCTTGCTCTGAGTTGGACAAGGTCCCTTCCTTGCAAAATATTCGACCATGCCCATGACGGATGACTACCTTTCCTAGCATCAAAAAATGAAGAGTTTGGAAAGTATATGCTTTTAAGCACACGGGTCCATAAGGCATTGGGGCTCTATAGCATCCTCCAAGCTTGACGGGCTACCATGGCCAAATTAATGTAATAGAGGTCTTTAAAGCCCATACCTCCAACATGTTTGCTTTGAGTGAGCCGATCCCAACCAACCTAGCATATTTTCCTCTCATTCATTTGTTGTCCCCACCAAAAATCCTTAATAAGTCGATTGATTTCTCTGCATACACCCATGGGAAACAAAAAGCAAGACATTGTGAAGGTAGGAATGGCCATAGCAACTGCTTTAATTAAGACCTCTTAGCCCACTTGGGATAGCAAGTTTTTTTTTCCAATGAGCAAGTTTCTTTTGAATTTTGGCAACCACGAATTTGAGGCTATCTTTTTTAGACCTTCCCCAAGAGGTTGGTATGTAACATCCCCTTTTTGATAATCTTCCCAGTTTACCAAGTAAGGAAATGTACTCTTCAAGATAAAAAAAAACAATAGGAATTATCTATAAAAAAATATTGCAGCGAAAGTAAAAACTCTCATTATATAAAACGTTTCCCTTTAAGGAAAATTTGCTTTCAAAACAATTTAAAGTTTTATAGAAGGAAAATCCTTCATCTGCAAGGGAAACTATTTAAATGAAATATATCCTAAAAAAAATATCGTAATACTCAAAGTTATAAAATAAGTTAGGCTATGCTCATTTAAATTAATCTTAATGTTATATACATAAAAGTAACTTATACAAAGAAATACATGAGAGCAATTGCTTTTCAAAATACTTTCTAAAATAATAAAAACAAAATCATCGTTTTGGTAATACATTAATCCGCCTTCACATCGAAAACGCTGAGATCGGCATACGAGATTTGTACTGAGAGCTCTCAAGCTAAGTGGCCGCTACTCCAGTCTATTAATCTGAAATGGGGGGGGATTTTATGAGCTAACAGCCCAATAAGTAATAAGTTTAAGCTATAAACTTGAGCCCTAAGACCCTTAGACCTATCCACACAAAGAGCATAAGACACGACAGAATCAAATCACATAATGTTTTAATTCTCACTATCTAAATAATGATTTAATATCTCCAATCATAAGCACAAATGTCAAGTAATGATCAATGACATTTAAATTGAATTCATATACTAAAATCATATGCTCACAAATACGATGTCATAAGCGCAATGCATAAAATCGAAAATCACACAATGCTATGGAGTCCACTGATATGTGCTAGCAACACTGTATCGGAGCTAATCACAGTACTAACCCTACTGCGCAGAGGTCCACTAAATACCCCGAAGGGTCCATTGAATACCCCGAAGGGTCCATTGAATACCCCAAGCTTTAAACTTAGGTCCACTTACTCCATAGCCATAAACACATACGTATGTCAAACAAATTCAAAATATGTCCAAAATAATATTAGGACTTCCTATTAAAAAGAGATCAAAGCATAATGCGTGAACAGTAATCATGAACAGTAATCGTAATCAATACAATTTATTTATAATTCCTATAGCAAAAATTCACACCCAAATCAAACATAAAAAGGACTACTCACTGTCTTTCCCATAGAAGCCCCAAAATTAAGAATATTTCTAATAAAATTGAATACCCAAAAATCTTATAAACCAAAGGATTAGAGTCAAATCTCACCCATTTAAACTACCCAAAATTCTAACCCAAAATTCATAACTAAAACTTATACTTACCTAACAAAAAAACACATTAACCTTGGTTGGAGAAAGAAGGAAGAAAAGGATGCAGGTGGGATGGCTAGAAAATGCAGGAAAACAAAATGGGGACTTTTGGGAGCCTTCTGGAGGCTTATCCAAGTTTCCACCAACAAAGAAAAAAACTTGGTTGGGACAATGCCATGTGGTAAGTAAAATTGGGATAATTGAGTTATGGTCATTCAACTTCTACTAAGTTTTACTTAAAACCCCCAAACTTTAAATTCAATCAATTTAATCCCTAAAACTATAAACTAAAGGACACTAATTTTTAAATTATTCACTGAGGTATGTGGGGTGTTACATGGTAATCCAAGGTATTTCGAGACAGCAGATTCACATCGAATTCCCAAGTGTTCACAAATGGATTCCCTGACTTCCTTAGGGGTATTGGGACTAAAAACCTGCAGCATACTTGGAGTAGTTAACTCTCTGTCCAATAATATCCCCGTAGAGTTGCAAGATAGTTTGTAAGTGATTCACTTCCTCTGCTGTGGCTCGATAGAACACCAAAGAGCCATCAGCAAAAAGGAGGTGACTAATTGTAGGGCTTCTCCTTCGAATCTTGTAACTAGAGATCTTCTTATCAGTTGTTGCTGCCATCAATAGACGAGATAAAAGATCAGCAATAAAGAGATAGAGGTACGGGGATAGTGGGTTTCCTTGCCGAAGTCCTCTTTGGGGAACAAAATTAGGGGTTTGATTGCCATTAATTTCGACTGTGTATGATACCGTCGAGACACATTGCATTACCATATGGATCCATTGCTCACAAAAGCCATGAGCCCTCAAAATATGTTCCAAACTGTGCCAATCCACACTATCATATGCCTTTCGAATATCTAATTTCAAAGCCAAAACACAATGCTTACCAGATTTCTTAAG